TCTGTGCAAGGAAAAAAAAAACCAAAAACCAAAAAACAAAACAAAACACTGGAAGTATCATAATGCCGACTTCAAGACTTTCAACAAAACTATAGTAACCAAAATAGCATGGTATTAGCATAAAAACAGAAATATAAGCAAGTGGAACAGAATAGAGAAGCCAAATATTGGTCCATGTTTATACAGCCAAAAGTTTTTTATAAAGGCACAAGGAACACATAGTAAATAATGTCTCTTCAATAAATGATGCTGGAAAAATTGGATATATATATTGCAAAGAATAAAAGTAGATCCTCTCACTGTACACAAAACTCCAAGTATATCAAAATCTAAAATGTTAAACCAGAAATTATGAAATTAATACAACAAAAGTTAGGAGGAAGAATTTTAAGATACTGGTATAGGCAATTAATTTTTGGATAGGACCCAAAGGCACAGGCAACAAAATTAAAAATATACAATTAGAATCATATCAAACTAAAAAGCTTCTGCACAGCAGTGGAAACAATGAACAGAATTAAGAGAAAACCTAAAGAATGGCATAGCGTATTTTGAAACTATTCATCTGACAAGGAATGAAATCTAGAATATCTATATTTTAGGAACTCAAGTAGCTGAACACCAAACAACAAATAATTCAGATAAAAATCTGGCTAAAGAACTTAGTAGAGACTTCTCAAAAGAAGATATACAAATGGTCAATAAATATATGAGAAAATGATCAATCGCACATGGAAATCAAAATAACAATGAGCTAACATCTCACCCCAGTTAGAATGACTATCAGTGAAAAGACAAATAACAACAAATGCTGCCTAGGATATGGAGAAAGGTGAATTATTATACACTTAGCATAAATTAGCAAAGCTATTATAGAAAGCAAAAGGAGATTCCTCAAAAAACTAGATATAGCATATGAATAAGCAATTTCACTACTGGATACATATCCAAAGAGATGAAATCATTATATCAGAAAGACACTTGCACTCTCATAGTTATTGCAGCACTATTAACAATAGCTAAAATATGGAATCAACCTTCTTTAGTGAACAAGCTGATAAAGAAAATGTGATATATATATTTTCTTTATCAGCTTGTTCACTAAAGAAGGTTGATTCCATATTTTAGCTATTGTTAATAGTGCTGCAATAACTA